GGAACAGGCTGCCCAGGGAAGTGGTTGAGTCACCATCGCTGGAAGTATTTAAAAGACGAGTAGATGAGGCGCTTAGGGACATGGTTTAGTGGGCATGGTGGTGTTGGGTCAACGGTTGGACTCAATGATCTTAGAGGTCTTTTCCAACCTTAATGATTTTATGATTCTATACAAGGCTGGAGCCAGGTGGGTCCACGCTGGCAGTCCTGGGAATCCCCACTCTCCTGGGAGACAGTTTCCATAACAAGATTTGGAGGGGGCTGGCAGCCCATAGGCTGGGAGCACTAACCAGAGGTGCCCACACGTGGTGAGAAAGGGAAGAACAGACAGTTGTACCCCTGATGGAAGTAGACGCTTGAAGGGGAGTAGCCCTCTATTTCTCTTGCATATAACAGATGGAATGTACATAGGCTTCATCTGGTGGATCAAGGAGGGCCTGAGACAGGGGTCACAATACAGCGGTGAAGGTTACCATGGTATAAACAAAACGATTCTTGCTTAAGATTAGCGTGCAACATAAATGTTCCCAGTAGCACTGGTATTGATGGCTTCAAGGAAGGAGGTGTGACACCACTTGCCATGGGTACCTCCTGATCAGTAAGTGGCTGGCTTATGCTGTCATGCACATTATTATATTTTTTGAACCTAATTTGCAGTCTCTACTGCACTACTCTGCCAATCCATCAGCATGCTCAGATATTAGCAAGAAATAAACTTATAAAAGCCTTATATCTGTTGTTCTTCTGTTCTTCCAAGATTAAACAGGAACTTACATATGCGATACAAGGTGAGTGGTGGACTTATATAGCCATTACATGTGAAAATGCTGTTGCAACAGACATGGATTGGCAGTCAGGAACCGGCTGAGCTTCCTTCTCCAAAATAAACACTCAGATTTTACTGAATTATGGTTTAATTTCATAATCTACTGTTGCTATGTCTGTACAACATTGTACAAAGTATAATCAAAAAGAACATTTCAGTCCCACATAAATGTCTGACTGGCTGTCTGAGGATCCAGTGGCTTTGAGTCTTTGATCTAGACTCTCCTGTCTTCCAGATGCCGTCATCAAAGTACCTTTGGTGGTAAGGCTACAATGCTATACGTTCGTACAGTCATCATAACATTTTTGCTTTCCAGTCTCCTTCTCCGCTCAGTGATGGAATCCCCCAGCCATGGCAGAGGGTCTCTGGTGGTACCTCATATTTCTGGGCAAACACGGAAGATTTTTAACCTCTTTTTGCATTAGGCAAAAACATTCTAGCAATGTCATGAGGGCAGTTATGTTTCAAAGGTGATACTGATGTGGTAATTTAGGACTGATACATCCTTCTTTACAGCACTTGCTACAGTAGGTCTTTTAAGTACAGCATTGATCTGCTCACACTAATACAACTGGTTCTAGGTTTCCATTCATTCCCATCAATGCATTTTCACTGAGTAGCACTACCCCATGTTAGCCTAGTCTGAGAATTTATCTCTTGCCCAGATAAAACTAGCAGGCGGATACTCTTTTCAACTTAGAGGTTAAGGGAAATAATATACTTAGCTGCTACTGGTAGTGGAATACATGCAGAACTGCTTCTACCAGAATTAGGAAACCTGCTGAGAATTACATGGAATCTAAAATGATTGCTTTGGATTAGAAAACCACACGCTAAAAGGCCAGCTTCATAGATCTTTGGTGTGAAGAAATATTCTTGTTGTAGCCTGACAGCAGGTGAGTGGTGTGGCAGAATGATCTCTCACGCCTGTGTTCTCCATGGAAAGTTTCATTTTGGCCAATTATTTTTCCTCTCATCTTCTGTGTTCCTGAAGCTTCTCATCTGTGTATCAAAGGTCTAGTGGAAAGCCATGTTCATTACAAAAAGATACAATTCTCTTAAAGCTTTTTTCCCCATTTTGACTACAATGCAGCATCATGTTCAAAATGCAACTACTGGATCTGAAAAATAAAACACTCAGACCATAATGCACATCTGAAAATAAATACATAGCCTTCGTATAGAGCCAGTTCTCAGTGAAAACCTTCTCATTTGCATAGTAGTGCAGAGATGTTCTCAGGAAGGTCATGCTACAGGGTGGAGTCTGAAAATAAGAGAAAGAGAGAAGTAGCTCGGTATCGTAATGAGGGAGATGGTAGTCTGTAAGGTATACCAGGAGGGGGACCTGAAATGTTACAGGGCCAAAAAGACCAATGTCTGCAAAAGGATTACAGGGATTCAACTGACCCATTTCTCCATTCATATAATCCCAACAAGGTATTCTGAATTGCATTAAAAGGAAAACATTTGACTCAAAGTAAAAGATATTTCATAATAAACTGAGTAAAATTGCCAACGATATTTATCCTTAAGTATATCCACCGTGCATCTATCCTCAGTCAACTACACTGATTCTCTATTCACATCAGGATCCCCAATGACCCTGTTTAACTCATACCACGTTCCTCTCTTTCCTCCCTTCTCATTGCCTTCGGCCACCTAACACCAGCTTTTTCCTCACTGCTTCATCTAACCTTGCACTTCTTGCAGGATCTTCTATTCTGTAGCTCCTGCACTGTAGAAAAATCTAACCTAGATATTATCTTATTAAATGAAAATGGGCTATTTCTTTCTAAAAGATTTGCTCAAGGTCAACCAAAACATCCGGCTCATGTAGAAATCAAGTGTTTTTCTCATGTCTGCCTTTTAATTCCTATTTCTGTTTCATGCTTGATCACTAGTAGGTTAATTAAAAATTCAATAAAGCAGTCCAAATATACGCTGCCTTATAGGAGATTGCTCGTCAGTAAATAAAGCTGTATGGCTACCATTTATAAGGCATCTTGACAGCAATGACATATCTTGACATCACACGATGAAGAGAAACATTAAAGATTGTTACCTTTAATAGTGAGGAAGGCTTTGCTCGATGCACGGCCCAATTCATTGGTGGCTTCTACCATATATTCTCCTTCATCATGTTTTGTGACACCTAGGACGACCAGGGAGCAGACACCAAAGTCGTTTGTGCAAAAATAGGTACGATCATTGGAGACGTCGCTATTGTCCTTGTACCACGTGATCTTTGGAGGTGGATGGCCTCCAACCGCACAGCTCATACGGCACTCACTCCCAGTAGTCACCACATGAGGCTTCAATGGGACGAGGAATCTTGGGGGCTGGTTTTGATTAACTCTCCTGTATTTCTGTGGTTTGACTTGAAATTCAGCTGTAAAAAAACCAGCAACATACAAACACACAGTGAGATACTGCTTCACAGCAATAGAGTTCAGGGTTTAAAGGACTGGTTTTCAATCATGACACTTGGTTGTGCAGAATGTCTGGCATTCTGCACTGCAAATTGCCAGAGATCCCATGCACCTATGGATTGTAATCTGTGTTTCTTTTCAAATTAGTCAGAACTTAATTTTGAAGTCAGAAACTTTGGTTTCTGCAAAACTTAAGCCTTAGATTTTGCTGGGAATTAATTTTGTGGCGAATTACATGATATAATGGCTGGAAATAAAGGATCTATCTGCACAATGTTCATGCAGAAAGGACAAGCCTTCCCTGCCAAACTGGAATTTCTTAGGGTATCTCTATGCATTCTTGTTCTGGGCAACTAAATGTTCACAGGAGGAGAGACCCATTTCAGGATGGTGTGTTAGAAACAATAAAAGAAACAAAGCATGACAACACACAGCTAACTATTTGTAAAAGCTGTTTTACCCTTTGGTTTTCGAATTCTCCAAGGCTGCACGCTTTCAGATGGACCACTGGCTCCCAAGTTATTTTTTGCCACAACCCTAAAGTAGTAGTCCCGGCCTGGGATCAGTTTGGTGAATGTGAACTTGTTGGTGTAGATCAGGTCACCCACCACGTGCCACAAGCCCTTCTGTGATTCACGTTTCAGGACTGTGTAGTAGAGATTATTTTCCCATTTCTCAGATGCTGATGGCTCCCAGGTTACTGTCACTGTATTTGGCACATTCTCTTCCAATTGAATAGGTCCAGGCGATTGTGGGATATCTGTCAGATGAAGGCAAATAATATCAAAGACGTAGGGAAAGTGGCACAGTACTTTGAGTCTGTTCTATGTCTGGGGGCTGAGTAAACATCCTGGTCATTAGAAGGGACAAAAATTTGATTCCTTCTCCAGGAGCTCATTTGCTCCTGGAGAAGTTCATTGAACTTCCACTGCATTACGTCTGCATTGCTGGGCCTCCTTCCCTTCTTATAGGAAGGAGACGAGGGCTGGTACAGCTAAACTTTTTCACCTTTTAGGGACACAGCGCATAGAGTTGTTGTAGCTATGACTAAATGTCCTACAGCCTGCTGCTGACTAAGCTTAGACTGTTACAAAGAGCACGAACTGCTCTCCTGTGGTTTGCACTATCCATCTGCATGACCTTGCCTTTTTAAGCAGAGTCACTCTGGAAGACGGGTGTAATTTTAATCAGTAGATTGCTCTGTCCTGCAGACACAGCCAAGTGATATCACAAAGTGGCCAGACTGAATCTCATGGAAAACTGTACTCTAGTTCTCCCTGTGCCTGCGTGGCTTAACTGCATCAGAGCTCACCGTGCTGAACTCGGTTTGTTGCCTACTGCCTATTCGCAGTAAATCTGTATGAATATATGGTAGTGAGTGAGTTAGTTACCTGTAACTTGAACTTGGAAGCTGAATGTTTCTCTTTTCCCTAACCCGTTCTGGAGCTCAACAGTGTAGGTGCCGCTGTCAGTGAGCTCAGCTGCTCCAATCAGCAGCTGGGTGGTACCATCTTTGGTGTTTATTGTAGTCTGGTTTGGAAGAGGAAGCCCATCCTTTAACCAGGTCACCACTGGATCTGGAGATGCCTGTAAAGAACAACATGAGTTAATAGACCACTTGCTTTGCCTCCAGGTTGCGTCTTTACATCTTTCATTATCTTGTCCCAAATGTATACCTACATGACACAGTAAAGTAATATTTAGAAATATGGATCCAAGATGGATCTCAGACCCCTGGATAAAGGACTGCTCTAAAGTTTCTTTGTAACTTTTCTCTTTCTCAGTGTCTTTCAAGTATGTTATTGTGGTAAGGTGTTCACCTATGTCAAACAAGGTGTGCTAGGTCAAGAACAACAGATGACATCAGTAGTTAATATTTTCTACTTTTAAAAAGATCTGCTGGTTTTGGAAAGAAAAAACATCCTCGAAGTCTTTATTTCCATTGTGCCATCTTTGGTCTCTATTCTCCAAGAGATTAGGAGAAAGGTCAGCAAATACACACACTTTGCCTTCATCAACCTCTTCTTGATATCCCAGACTTTACCTGTGTTGTTCCAAGCTTACGTCAAAGCACACAGGATTTCTGTCAGTGCATACCTATTTTGCAAGTCATACAGCTTAAGTCCTGCTGCTTAGTAAGACAAACACACTCAAGAGGATGTTGCTAGAAATGTTACCCCAAGGCCTTCTGAGGGAGTCAGAGGGAAATCAACCGATTTTTAAACTCTAAGTATGACAGATTAGTACCAGATGATGATAATACTGATATGGTTGGATGGATGCGCCTTGTTTACAGAGGTTAATGAATGACCATAATCTCCTAAAACACTAATGGCAAAAGTGACAGCTGAATTCTTTTTCATGTTTTCCTCATGCAGAAAGTATACACAGCACAGGCAGGTTAAACGATTTGCCCAGTGTCTTGTAAACAAAAGTCCATGCCAAGAAAACAGTAGCTCAGTTTTCATGTCCGCTATTGACTACAACATAAAAACAGATGGGGAATCCTTACAAACACATTTGAATACTTACTTCAAAGGGAATATTCACTCGGATGGTATTTCCTGCTTTTATAACCAGTAAGCTTTTCACTGTGTCATCTATTAGTAACCTGGGAGAAACTGGAAAAGACGGTGATTACAATAAAAAGTTGTACATTATTACAGAGTCACTGGCTGACAAACTCATATGCATGTGTTCGATACCCCTAATGCCTTTCCAACAGCTAGTCTGCAGGCTGTTGATAAACTCATAGTGGTACTGTGGAAAAAAAGCTCCTTGATTCAGAACCCGAGTTTACACCTTTCAAATTTTATTACTATTTATTTATCACTATGACTAAACAAGGGGAAATGATGTAAAAATACATTCACAACAATGTTTGTATACATGTGACATCTCAATCATGGAGAAATTGGCTCTTTGGCACACTTTACCCCATCACATGGATGATCGTTTGTGTAAAATGACATCTGGGGAAAAGGAAGTTGCAATGGACACTTATGAAATGTACGTGCAATACAGTACAGAACATCCTCAGGAAACCTGCCTGAGTTTATTAAAAATAATCTTTTTTAGTATTTAAAATATTTTTTCTTTCTTTTCTCTTTTCATCAATATATTGTTGTATTTAGCATTTTTCTAAAAATGCCAAATACGATACTGCTAAATTGTATTTAGCGTTTCCAGTTTAAAACTGAAAAAGCTGCTTCCCAGATGGACTTCTATTTATTTATTTAATGATTGATTATAACAGGGCTCTCCAGGCATAGGCCAAAAGTAGACATTTTCACTTAGGACCCAAGTTAAAGAAGATGAATCTCTCACAGAATTATCTCTTGCTTCTGTATTTCTGCAACATTCCCAAACAGCAGGGGAAAAAGAAGAGAGCTGCAGATTGTAAATAAAGATGAAAAAGGGAAAATGGTGAAAACTGTCAAACTAGAAAATTAAAAAGGAAAATAAAGTTTACCAAAACCAACATAACAATTGCTATTTAAGAGAATGAAATAAAATGTTTAATTCCACAAGACTGTGTAAAAATAGACCGAAAACTCTATTTTTCCCTTAAAAGAGCATGGGTAGGCATAAGGTATGTGCGGTTTCTGTCTGGTGATCATGACTGTGGTATAGCTCCACAGTCATGGGGCAAACATGTAAATCCGAGGAGAAAATACAGTTTTGGGGGTTCTTTTACCATAGTGAGTCTTTAACATGGGCTGAACACTGTGCATTGCACATTTATCAGTTAAATCTTCAGAATTTCCTGATGAGGTGACCAAATAAGACCATACTCTACAGTAGCAATGTGGTACTTGTCCTTCTGCTACAATCTGGGACTTGAAAGAAGCTCATCACAGTGACCTACAGACTTTGCCTGCATCCTGTTACCTATAGAATGACCTCGTTCATTCTGAAAGCAGCCCACTTTGACTTACCTACAGGGGGAGCAGCTTCAATGCAAGCTTCAAGCTCTGCAGCTTCTCCTGGGCCACTGTCGTTGAGGGCTCTCACACGTAGGAAGTACATCTCCTTGGCTTGGAGGCCTTTAACTGTGTAAGTGGTCACCTCTATGGGAAGAGTATTGCATTTGGTCCAGTTGAGGTTGTTAGAAGACCGCATCTCCACGTCATAGCCTTTCACATCACTCCCATCTTTTGCTTCAGGTCTCTTCCATGTCAAGGTGACACTAGTGCTGTCACTGCTGCTCACTTTAAGGTCCTGCACTTGACCTGGAGATTCTGAAAAGAGGAATTTTATTTAAACTATTTTTCTAGGATTTCTGTCCCCTCTTTTCAGTCACTTTCTGAGATTCCCTAACGTTCTTGAAGTGCACTGGATATCCACCCTGCTGTCTTGCCTCCACCTTGTCCCAGTTCTTCAAAGCTGGATCCAGGTGCCTGCTCCTGCCAGCCATACAGTACAATCTGCAACATTCCTGAAACAGTCTGCAACCCATCCTGAATACTTCTCCACACTGCACATCATAACTCCCACACAGGGAGTCTGCCACATCTTGACTTAGACATCACAGAGGAAATCCTTCCATTCCTTCGTCATGCTGATAGCAGATTCCCAGCCATGAAACATTCCCCAGTTACTTGATCTTTGTCTTCACATACTTTTGCAAAGCATTTAAAAACATCGCCTCTCCACTAACATCGCAAGTCTACGTTCAGCTTTACATATCCCCAAGCTAGAAGGATGGGGGTCAGTGCACTTACCCATGGAATCCCGGGCAAAGACAGGCTGTGACGGTTCACTGGCATCTCCTATGCCAGCAGCATTGACAGCTGCCACACGAAATTCATACTGCAGACCTTTCTTGAGATTGGTCATTTTCAGCTTCTTGTCTGCAGAAAGAAAAGGAACATGTTGGCTCAGGTAAGCTGTTCCCCAGGCAGGAAAGGGTGAGACAACAATGTTGTACTTTACTCCATGTAGAATTGTAGACTGAATAATTCTCAGGAACCATGTATAAATGCTGTCACTGATTCCTCTGCCCTTCCCTATCCAAGTGCATGTGAACTTCTGGGACGTGTTCATTGTATTCCCTTTCAAATCAAACAGCACTTGAGAGCTATTAAGGTAGAGAAAGGATAAATACTGCTTTTCCTCATGGGATAATCCTAAACTCTTCTATACCAGATAAGAAGTCCTAGTTTGCACCTTATAGATAATGCTAGCTATAGTCAAAACACATTTTGGAGCTCATACACATCACTTGGGTTTCTTTACATTCTTTGCATTCGTGTCTGCAAAGTTCCTAGCATGAGGACTAAGGACAGTAGTTCTGCATGTGAAGTGAAGACTTCAGTTTCAGAAATTGAAGACATCAGTTTATCTATAGAGGAGCTGTGACCCAGGATGCAGCAGTGAGCTTCTCTGCACTCTTCTCCAGACGTATGCTTGCACACAATCTAGAAAAAAATCATAATCCTCCTCCCAGGCATTCAGCTGTATAATAAAACCAAGGCCTGGCTTTGCTATGGCACAGCTGTGTAACCTTACCTGTGAAGAAACCTTACCTGTGAAAAAACGCGTACACTAGAGCTGTGAAAGATAAGAAGGTAAAACTTCAGACGGGGTAATATGGTTGTGATGGGGACAGTCAGCAGCTCAAGAATTCAAGAGGAAAAACACTGATGTGAAAAGGTATAAGACCCTAAGCAGAAAGCAAAGGAGTTAGAAGGCAGCAACTCCACAAAGATCAGTGTGTTACCTCCTGAACTCAGCTGACCTTTTTGTCTTTTTCAAGTCTTCCAGTCTGTTCCAGGATTTAAGCTACCTACCTGCTATAGGCACACTGTTGACTGGCAGCCAGGTCACGGTACCCTTCTTGCGTTTTTGAACAATGTATCCCACAATTTGGGAACTGCCAGTTTTACAAGGTGCTTTCCAGGATATTGTTATGGTGTCTCTGCTGGCACTGACAATCTTGGGGGGATCTGGGGCACCAGGTGAAGCTAGAAAGAGATTAGTGTTTCATTATTAGCAGGTATATTTTTATTGCAAGATAAGAAAGTGTTCTGTGTCATTTCTTCTTCCAGTTTCCCCAAGATATTTATATGGATGTCTTTTGAAAACCTGACTGAGACCTGAAGCTGTGTATCCTATTCCCCACACAAACAGGATCCAGCATGGACTTCTGTTCCTGAATGTTGTTTTCATGAATGGCCTGCTGTCATCATGACTGACAATTCCACTGTCAACCTACAGAGTGAGGCATGTACATTCTTACATGGCAGGAAAAGTCAGCGTTATTCTTGCTTTTAATGACAGAAACTGGAAACAGAATGGATTTTCTTATCCCTCTGCACTCAAAATACAGGGCTTCTCATAATCATGAGAAGGAGAATGTAGAAAGAAGAAAATTAGAAATAGAATAGAGCATTGCTTTCTCTCTAGTACTACATTCATGCTCATGGCAAAACTGTTCTAGTATTTAAATTCATTGAAGGACAAAGAATAGAATTAGTTGTTTGGAAATCAGGGGAATGAAGCAGCATACTGAAAAATGCTGCACGTACGGAGACACTCCTTGCCTAAGGAGTTAAGAAAAGGCCTCACATGTTACCTTTGTAGCCACCCCGGTAAACATTTTCTCTGATCTTGATGCATATTGCATCTCCCCCATGAAACTTGCTTTCCAATTCAGAATGGAGCATAACTGAGAACGTAACGCCAAAGCATCACCAAAGCCTACAATAAACTCCCAGTCTCAATGTGCAATCTCCACAGATTTGTGTGAAGACTTCACAGCCGTGATTCAAGTTTAGATCTGTAGCAACATCCAAAATGCAGTGAGTTTTCTTTGATGTCAGCTTTGATAATGAATTCCCCAGATAGTTGTCGAACACAATTATGAAAAGTTCTTCCTTACCTTTACTGACAGCCTTCACTTCATCTGATTCCAGCGCGTCGCTAGTTCCCTCAGCATTCACAGCTCTCACCCTGAAGTAGTAGCTCATGTCTTGTTCTACTTTGTTAGTAGTGAAGGTAGTACAGCTCCTGGGGGTTTCTCCCAAAGTCACCCAGTCATTCTCGCCTACCTGCTGTCTCTCGACAATGTAGCTTTGCAGTGGTTTGCCCCCATCATCTTTTGGGGGCTTCCACTCAATGGTGATGTCATTTGCAGTGCTTTCTACAATTTTGATGGGTCCTGCAGGTGGCTGTGGCTTGTCTGAAAAGATGAACACAAAGAGACTATGTGTTGGCTCCAGACCCAGACGTGCTCCTGGGTTTGGAGCAGACACTGTCTCTTGCTCACCAGCTAGGAGACTCAGTTTCTGATGGAATACATGCATAGTTGCAGAATGAGGGCTAGGCACTTGAATTGCCTCTTCAAAACTTCCACTCTTCTAACTTCTGATAAGTGTGGGGGAAGCCAGGCCCTTGCTCCATGGATTAATTGTTCTCATAAGCACTGCACCAATTCAGCTTGCTTATAAGGAAGAACATCATTTCTGGTCTTCCAAAAGAGCACAGACATTTATGGTAGGGCTGAATTTGGCCTTGATAATGTATTGTAGATTTGCCTGTTGCGCATAGTCCCATCTCCCACAGTCGCTCAACATTGAAAACTCAGCCGCTGAGGCCATGAAAAACCAAACTAGATTAGTGTCACCTTGTACTAAAGGGCAAGAAACACGTCAGAAATCTTTGCTTGTACCCCGATTTAGTGGAAAATCACATAGTCTTGTTCATCTTGGAATACCCAGTAGCTCTAAATAAGATTGTCACCAGTGTTAACGGGTTCCCTGCCTAAGCTTTACAATGAAAGCCACAGTGGATGTTATGGGGCTCTTACCTGTTACCACAAGCTTGAAGTTGATCTCCAGGACCCCACTGTCGTTCTTCAGCCTGACTTTGTAATCCCCACAGTCCTTTCTCTCACTGCTGGAGATGGACAGCATGATAAAGGTCTCTGTTTTATCAACACGAATCCTTGTGTCATCTGCTAGCTCCATTCTGTCCTTTAGCCACGTTGCTCTGACTGGCAGCCGGCCCTCAAAAGGGATCTTGATTTTTACTTTCTGCCCTGCCTTGGCCACAGTAGGAACACTTAAGTTTTTGAGGAGAACTTTGTCAACCTGTGGAGGATCTAAGCAGATGATACAAGTTCATTAAAAACTGCAATTCAAAGAGGATAAGGCTCACCTTGGAGCGAAGGGCTTCCCTCATGATGCTGCCAATAATGCTTAGAAGCTCACAACATTTGGACCTTCACCTTTAGTTGCATGCTCAGTGCTTCACACACATACATGTACTTTGCTACAGGATAATTATCACAAAGTATTTGTGGTATCATACTGTCATTTTCACTGGAGCAAATTTCTCATAGGCAATACACTAAACACAAGAATGAAGAATCTGGTCTGATAAAGTGTTATGTGCACCCAAAATCTTTGAGTTAATAATAGAAGCTATTCAGGAAAGCTCCCTAGTTAAATCTGTAAATACAAAATGCACCAACCTGTACAAAAACTATCTCCCATTTACATGGTAATTCTTTATAATAAAGTTGTCTCAATAACCAACTATAGGTCTCTGAGAAAACGCACTACGTTTCAAGCACATCAAGGCTAGCATGCTGCATTGGTAGTTTGAATAGACTCACCTTCAACAAAAACTGAAGCTTCAGTTTTTATATCTCCACCTTCAAACCTGTATTTCCCAGCATGAATATCTTCCACTTTGTTAATAATTAGTTTGTGGACTAGACCTTCCTTTTCAAAAAAGATTCCATCCATGCTTGTTAACTACAAGGTAAAGCACAGAGACCCATTCTTAAAAAAAAAAAAGGGAAAAAGAAGGGCAATCCAAACTTAAACTGGACAGACATAAATTTGAAATGTAATTGAAAAGCCTTATGAATGACAGGCATGTTTAATTACAATAATATTCTGGGATTACTCATCTGGTAACTTTGTATGTAAGCATTGTCAGCATACTCCCCACAAAGATCTGATTCAAAGTCCATTAAAATAAATTTTAGTACAATCTCCAAGCTCTCTCTTTCTAGACCCGTTCTTAAAAAAAAAAAAAAAAGGGAAAAAGAAGGGCAATCCAAACTTAAACTGGACAGACATAAATTTGAAATGTAATTGAAAAGCCTTATGAATGACAGGCATGTTTAATTACAATAATATTCTGGGATTACTCATCTGGTAACTTTGTATGTAAGCATTGTCAGCATACTCCCCACAAAGATCTGATTCAAAGTCCATTAAAATAAATTTTAGTACAATCTCCAAGCTCTCTCTTTCTATTCTTAATGACAAAAACTTTGGCCCATGCTCAAGTGTGACACCTCAGAACTCCTACAGTATCATCTGGATCCCACAACTGGAATTACTTTTCAGTGTTGTTTTGGAACATAGAATATGATGTCTATGCTTGACCTTAAGCACTAATTTGAAAGAATACTCTTCACGTTATGCCTGCCTGAAGGATCCTTTGAAGATTTTCCCCTTTTGCATATTTCTCTCATTCACCAAGGAAAAGAAAAAGGATTGCATTGCAAGGAAGAGACCCGCACCATCTCCACCCATGAAAAAGAATGGAAAACACAAAGCCTCCTATTGTCAGCAAGAATGGAAATGTCTTGCAGCAGGAAGGGGGAGAAATCTTGCTGGGTTTCTATCAGGGATTTTATTATCAACAGGCTCCTGCAGAATCCTTCCAGGGCCATACTCAGACTACAGAAAGACTGGCAGAAGGAAGGACACCTTGACATGACACTTGATAAGAGGTAGAGCCAGAGAGCAGAGCACTGCTAACCAAAGAAAACAGTAGCTAGAGGACACCTACCTTTAATCCATCTTTAAACCAGGTTCCTGTCACTTCATCTTTACTGACAGTGCAAGACAGCTCAGCTGGTTCCCCTTTCAGGACTCTGACATCAAGTAAATGTTTGTTGAGATGACAGCGTGGTGCTGAACATTCAGAAAAGAAAATGTTGAAAAGATGCTAACTGTGTTACACTGACAGAGAGAAATGTATAGATGAAAATGCATGTGCACATGAGGAGAAAAGAGAGCTTTTTAAAAAATATATACTGTAGTCGTGACAGGCTTTTGTACCACAGCACTGTGGGCCAGCTGGCCTAAACTCATTACACTGAAGAGATACACCAGCTGGCCTGCATACAATATAGTCCTCACATCAACCTAATGGGCAATGAATTCATCACAAATCACATTATCCATCTACAGATTTGCTATTTTAAGTCTATGCTAATTGTCTTGGCTCCCTCTACAGGCAGTGGGAAAAAATAGGCTACTCCAGGATATGGATATACTACTTCATCATCCTTTTCCTCTGCATTGACCAGATACAGGGCTGCCCAACCAGTTCCCCCTAAACAGCCCCAAATCACACTATTCTCTATCCCCTGTATTCCTCTTTCCCTTCCCAAGTTCTTCTCCATTAACATCCTCATCCTCTCTCTAATAAACACCCCACCTCCTTCCCCATTAACTCCAATTTTGTTGATTTTACTTCCTTATTTATATTTATGTTTTGGTTGCCTTGATAATTTCTAACTCGTCAGCAACTCCATTAGATGAGTATTCCCCTTTGGTTATACATATGAAGTTTCTCATTTCTACAATTTCCACATTATCATCTTGCTAGTGTAGCCACTGGTCTTAGTCAAATGGCCGCATACACATTACTCTCCTTTTACAATATGCAACACCTTATTATTTCTGATGTTACAAGAGAAAAGAGCACTACATTAGGCCCAATGTGCATATTAATCCAATATAAGCAGGCACAGGTTTGTTCCCAGAACCTGGAAAAACACAGATCTTTGCACTAGATGTTAGAACAAATAAAGAGAAACAATAAGTTTTAAATTGGAACAATATCAAAGAAACATGGCCATATTCCTTGAAACTACATGGGAACTAGTATGTTTGTGAACTGAAGTCTGTTCCATGTGGATCTGAATCATTTATTTGAATGAGCAGATGACACCTGCTTTAGATATTTTAAAGAAAGATCATTTAGACTTTTAAGGCAGTTTGATCTGAGCGAATTGTGTAAGGTCAAACAGCAAATCAGTTGTAGAATTAGGAACGGATCTCAGTATAACCAAATTTCTACATATAGCTACATTTGTCTAAACCATAAGATTCACTTTCTCTCCAGGATTAGGAATGCGAGTATCAAAATGCAAAGACCAGCAATACAGAAGTCATCAATTAAACACATACCTTTCAGATCATCCAGGCAATAACACCTTCTTTTTCCCATACTTTCTGTATTCTTCAAGAAATCATTTGCTTTAATATCAACGCCGGGTTCCTGTTTTCTCTGGTTTATTGAAGGAGGTCCACCATAAAGATCTGACATCTGACCATAATCCAATGAACCTTGGCCAAAACCACCTGAATTCCTCCCATCAACAGATCTGTTACGGGATTTACTCCCTGACCCTCCAAAGGCAGAATTTTTGCCATAAAGGGAGCCTAACTGTCCTAAATCTCTGCCCTCACCCCTGGCATCTCCTTGACCTGAAAGTGAGTCTCTGTCATGAGATGAACCTCTGTTCCCTGACCCTCTGAAATCACTGGCAGTGCCCTTTCCAGTTTCATCTCCCATAGAAGATTTGCCAGGATGTGAATCCAGCTCATACTCACCACCTCGTCCAACAGCACCTACCACACCTTCTTTACCACGGACCAAATGTAACTCCCTTTGATCACTTCCCAACCTGCCAACACCACCCTCACCAGCCTTAGCTCCAGCTGACCCACTGTCCTTGCCATAGGGAGATCCAGCACTCAGTATCGCAGAGCCACTGACACCACCACCTTCTGAGGAAAAGCCATCTCCTCCTGCTCCACCCATATATGCTTGAGCTCTGCTCAGCATAGCATCCCTGCCATGGTGAGATCCCATTACTTCTTCACCTCCAAAAGGAAAATGAGCAGCTCCTGTCACAGCCCCAGTTGGGAGACCATCCTTTCCATAGAAAGAAACAATGCCCCTTGCACCAGCTACACCAGCACCAGCCCCAGCTGGAAGACCATCCTTTCCATATGGAGACCCAAAACCACCAAAACCAGCTACACCAGTACCAGCCCCAGTTCCCATTCCCACTGGAAGACCATCTTTTCCATGGTGAGAACCAATTCCCTCTGCACCATCTACACCAGAACCACCAACACCAGCCCCAGCTGGAAGACCATCCTTTCCATACAGAGAGCTGAATCCACCTGCACCAGCTACACCAGCCCCAGCTGGGAGACTATTCTTTCCATGCAGAGACCCAACTCCCCCTGCACCAGCTACACCAGCACCACCAATGCCAGCACCAGCTGTGAGATCATCCTTTCCATAGGGAGATCCAACTCCCTCTGCACCAGCCACACCAGCACCACCAAGACCAGACCGAGCAGGGAGACCATCCTTTCCATATGGAAACCCAACTCCCCCTGCACCAGCTACATGAGCGCCACCAACACCTATTCCAGCTGGGAGACCATCCTTTCCATAGGCATATGCAGTTCCCCCTGCACCAGCTACACCAGCACCAGCCCCAGCTGGAAGACCACTCTTTTCACAGGGAGAACCAGCTCCCCCTGCAGCAGCACCACCAATGCCAGCCCCAGCTGGAAGACCATCCTCTCCATATGGAGACCCAACTCCCCCTGCACCAGCACCACCAACTCCTGCTCCAGCAGGGAGGCATCCCTTCCCATAGGGAGACCAAACTCCCCCTGCACCAGTTACACCAGCATCACCAACACCTACTCCAGCTGGGAGACCATCCATTCCATAGGGAAACCAAACTCCCCCTGCACCAGCTACACCAGCACCACCCATGCCTGCTCCAGCAGGGAGGCCATCCTTTCCATAGGGAGACCCAACTCCCCCTGCACCAGCACCACCAACTCCTGCTCCAGCAGGGAGGCCATCCTTTCCATAGGGAGATGCAACTCCCCCTGCACCAGCACCATCAACTCCTGCTCCAGCTGGAAAACCATCCTTTCCATAGGGAGACCCAACTCCCCCTGAACCAACTGCACCAGCACCACCTGTGAGCACCAGGCCCAGCTGGGAGACCATCCTTTCCATATGGAGACCCAACTCCCCCTGCACCAGCACCATCAAGACCAGCCCCAGCTGGGAGGCCATCGTTTCCGTACGGAGACACAAATCCCCCTGCACCAGCTACACCAGCACCACTGATGCCAGCCCCAGCTGGGAGACCATCCTTT